AAATGGTTTGAATTATTTTCATGCAATATGGCCTCATAATATGGCTGTACACTTTGTGCTCTGCTGTCAGAGACTGGAGGCCAAAATGCCATACTGTTGACAATAACAATCCCCTACAGGTGTACTTAGTTAATTAGCAGATTGCAGGAAGCAGCGGAGGGCAGAGCAGAGTAGGCCTTAAGTTACAAAAAAAAAAAAAAAGCAGCCTATGGAAGTAAACGACAAAGTGCACAACTGAGAGGCTGTAACGCAACATCTGCTACTGAACTTATCATTAGGCACTCAACTCAAATCAACTAATTGAAGCTAAAACATGCAATAAATCTTAGACATTCTTCTCAGTGGATGTGTTAAGAAAAAAAGGTACCAATGTGAACATTCAGAGCACACAGATTAGAAAATGTGTTCAGCTAATGGCCTGATGTTCGTCCCCAGTGTGTGAAAACTTCCCATAGGTATAGCTTATGGAAGTGGAGAATATCAGAATTAGCCCTTCCTAATGTCAGGTTCACACTGCACGATATCGGCACAATTATAGCCCGATGCAAAGTTGTACAGTGTCTTCTCAGACCGTGAACGTCAATTAATGTCGTACACTATAATCCATCGTTTCATCTTGTGTGTGTCATAGTAGACGTCAGCCGACACCATGTCTCAGACGCCTCACGACGTCCTGACATAAAGTCTAGCATGTTTGATTTTCTTTTTGTTGTTCACAACTGCTCCCATCACAGCCGTCACTTTGACCAATAGAAACACAGAGCGATCTGCTGCCGTGGAAAACTGTATGTAGACGACACCCCAGTTTTGTTTTGTTTTTTTATATTTCCTCTAAAGATTAGAGATATGTTAAATTTAATGCACCGTGCATCATTTCAAACTCAACACTTCCTGTATCTGTTTCAAATTAAAAGCCCATAATAATTTTAGTTGAGAGAATCCTTTCATGTCCTTAAAAGGCTTTTATTGTGAAACATTTGCTGGAACTTGTTGTGGAGGATTAAGTGACTTGTCGTCTAGTGACACTTTTTACATTACTACAGTAACATTTTAGCTGGCACATGAACAGCCACAGTGACTGATGATTGGTTGTGGACCAGCGTGTGGTCTGTCATGTCTGTTGGCCAAGCCAAGGCACAATTTTATGTCTCCGTAATCACCTAATCTGACATAGTGACTGTCAGAATGGACAAATATGCCAAGTAGTGTGAAATCAGGTCCATTTTCACTCTGTGCTACAATAACAGTTGAGCACACTTGGAACCTGACAAAGACTCAGCTAGCTTTACCCTTTCCTGGTATACTGAGATATGCTATGTGCTAGACTCATCTATGTCGAAAAGACAATGAAATTTTGAAGATTGTCAAAAGACGTCACTGTCACAAACTTCACAGACACAATACAGTCGCATCTTAAGTTAGCTACTGTGAGCAAAACGCTGACTAACTAGTTAATGTATAGCTACATCAAGTAGATGTTTTTGACGCCATTTTTGGTGAGACCAGAAACCTCAATTTGCGTTGTTTTGCTTTGTTCATGAAAGGTAACATTGTGAACACATCTTTCCATCCCATACTGTCGTCCTCTCTGTTGGCTTTTTGAATCTAGATTGAAGGACGCCGAGAAACTCTCTGATAAACACTATGCTAATGCTAAGCAGAACTGGCCTCTCCATGTTTCTTTTTGTCAAGGGTGGAAGACTTTGGGATCGGTCGGTTGGTGAACCTGCTGACGAACATGTGATTACATTGCTGTCGCATGATAACTAGAATTCTTCTAAACTTTCTATTGGGTGCCCAACAGTGTTGCCAATATCATCTATACTATGTACTTGTGTTGACTGAATGGCTCACACTCTCAATTAGTTGATCCTTTCTGGTTTCGCCTTAAGTCAAAAAACTATTTGATTTTTTTTCCAGACTCTCATTTCTTTGTCAGCTGTTCCTTCGTATGCTTGCTTATTGAAAAATCACAAATAATTCCAGTATTCTTTCCATCCACCCCAGAGTTGTTACACCCTGCTAGCTCTGTTGATCTGATCCCTGCCCCTCTTAGTATGGGTTGATTCCTGTTTCATTTGGCTCCCAGATAAAAGATAAAAGAGTCAGCTAAATTGCCAAGTTCAATCAAGTCAAGATAAAAGGCTAATGATAGATGCAATGATTTGAATGGCAAACGGCAGGCCCGCTTCAAGCCTACACCGACAGAGAGGCTGTTTTGCTATTTTGTGTGGGGACCGTTTGAAAAGTGAAGGTGGGGGGTTGGAAGAGGGTGGGGGGCACCTTTCACAGATACCGTCTCCTACGGGGCCTCCCCGGACCATGCAGTATAAGCATGAAAGCAGTCCAATCCAACTGGCATGTGGTGTCAGGAATGAAAATGAGTGTTGGGAATGACAATCAGCCATTTTATCCCTTGTAATGTGACATACTGGAAGGCAACCAATGCATTATTTTTGTTTGCCTTCACCTAGTGTGACAGTATTCCCTCCTCCCTTTTGCTGCTAATTCCTCCTGATCCTCAGTGAAATAGCCTTCAATTATTTGCCTGATATTATATAACTGTTGGCATTAATGATTCTCTAACAAACAATGGTAACATATGGTATTGTGCTTTAAAGCTCAGCATTCCCTGAGACAATTAACAAAATGGGGTAAAAGAACTGAGACTGAGCAGGGGACTGCTTCTTTCAAACATGTATTTGCCTATAATAACATCCACCCCCCTAAAAAAAAGGATACAATAATTAAATCATATTTTATTTAACTTTCTGAGTCAATCCTTTGCTTCACAGCCTTTTTTTAAAGTTCACCTTTATTGCTATCATCATTATGCCTGATTCATTTAGATGTAATTCCTGTGGGCAGCTGTCTCTGGTTGCGTATTTAGCAATTCAGTGCAAATTAGCTAATCATTTAAATTACAGGGGGGCGGTCAGAAGAACATGAACACCTGTACAAGCTTATAAAATCATAAACACCCCTACAACCAATATTTCTATGATGCTTATTTTAGATTTTTATTCGGACTGCATGAAATAAAAAAGTCAATATCTCTACAGTGTTTTTGAGGCATATTTATCATGTTCTTGTACTGGACTATACGATAGCTTACAGGTCATATTCAGCCTCCATACATGCTGTGCATATTGCTGGCTTGAGATCAAACTGTGCGTCATTTCTCGATCTGAAAATAAGAACACATTGCACCCATTTTGTTGGCTTGAATACAGCATTGCGTGTTGAGATGAAGCCACAAAAGATGTGTCAAAATGAGGCCATGTGAAAGCCACATAACTCAAATGGAAGGTCGCTTGGCATTGTCTGAAACAAAGTGCAGCTACTGAAAATTCACTGCAGCATCCTCTATGATTTTATCCTCCAAACGTCCAACACCACTTGCGATGGAGTTTCAAAATTCAAAAATTCACAGTATATATAAAGCAGCACTGTAGGTTGAAAGGAGGCACTCAAAGCCTATATGGAGGAGGGAAGGGCAAACAACAACAAAATGGCAGCGGTGATTTGTGGTCCCTCTTTGCAGTCAAACCCTGTGTGAGCAACCTGCGAGTATTACATATTACCAGGTGACCTGCCTCCAGCAAAGCCAGACAGCCACTAACAGAAATGGAAAAGATTGTGGAGGATCGAGCCCTCCTCCTCCTTCTTGCTGTTTAAATCTCTGCATTTATAGTCATTTCTCTGGAGAGGAACCTGCCAGAAATTCATGCAATGGATATGCCGAAAAAAAATCTAGGAACTAGAGTGAGTATGAGTGGGCTGGTAATGTGAAAATATATAGAGAGCTTAACCAAAATATGTTTTACGCTGCTTGGGTTACAGCTTCAGAGGGTGGGCTACTTGATCATCCATGTGGGCTTAGCCCTTCCTTGGCCCTGTGTTACAACTGGGCCCGTTAATCAGGAAGCGGCTTTGTTTAGTCGTAGCTTTGAAAACAAGGGAAAACTCAGCAGTAGAATAAAAGGTTTTACGGAGAATGGTACAGTATGTCAGGTACACAAGAGTGTAGAAGCTGAAAGCAAAAGGAGAAAAGTGGTATTCCCATATTGCTGTAGTCTGTAAATACTGTTTTGAAGAAATTCACTTGCCAGTGTACAAAACATTTCAAAGGATTCCCACTCCTTTCGGGACTATCATACACAGCTTCCTTCTATGTGTGTGTGTGTCACAAAATGTGCATTTTTTCTACCCCTCTGTGAATTTGAGCGTGGATGGCCAGTGAAAGTATGCATTTCACTTTATGTGTGACTAATCAATTAAGCCAGTGAGTAAACAAGTGAGTAACTTCAGCAAGTCAGTGTGAAAAGGAAGGGAAAAAAAAATCAAGGATGTGTGGTTGGGGGACTATGGGTATTTTCCAACTATCTTGAGTCATAGCTATGTCAAGAAAAGTGTGAAGTCATCAGCTCAGGGGAAGCTCTATTCAGTGACAAGAGTCTCGATTAGCATTCACATCCAGTGTCCAGAAGTGTATCTTCCCACCATTCAGCTATTGTCCCTACACAATGCTGCTCATCAAAGTCTGAATAGTAGTAGCAAACACACAAAGCACAAAGCCTGTGATACCCGAGCAGAAAAAAAGCAAACAAGTACCTAAACAAGCACAAATGTCTTATCACAGACAGTATAGCTTAGGCTCAAGATTATGCAGAATAGGAAATGTAATCAGTCCCATTTATCTGTATGTCTGTACAATTTTTGCAGCAAAGCAAACATTTGCATCTCAGCAGAGATTAGGGTTTAAGCGAATGTGCAAACACCCATCTGAAAACAAGCGATATCTTGTTATACACAAAGTGATGCTAAAACCACTTTGGTGGTAATCCATGGGTACACAGTGTTTACCTAACCTGCTGCGTAAGGCTAAGTAATCAAGTAGCAGATTCATCATCTATCAAAGCAGTGTAAATAATTACCTCGGGTCGCCTCGCTGTGGACAGAGTTTTGTTTAGGAGGAGTGGCGGTGGTGTGGGTCATACCTCGCATTCTCGGGAGCCTGAGATGGTATAGGTGCAGGGTCCGGTCCCATTCACAAGCACATCCATGGCCTCAGAATTGGTGGGCTTGTAGTCCACATAGTACTCCTGCAGCGGAGAGCTCAGGGTGCGCTCCGTCTCTCTAGCTTTCTTGCGGCGTTTGCGGGCTGCTGCCGAATGCTCCTGCAGCTGCTTGACACTGCTCGGATAGCGCTTCCAAGACACGTAGATTACCAACAGGATCATTGCAACAGATAGAAAAAGGGCAACGCTTCCGGCCACAATCTTATGGAAGGACACAGGCTCCAAGTCTTGCTCTGGGGGAAGTGCCACAGGTGGGGTAACAGTTGACGATGTGGGGCCTCGGATAGAGCCCTCTCCTCTCTTTCCAGAACCAGTAGGTAAAGTCAGAATGGCTGGGCGGCGTTCAGTCTGCACAGGGACACTGGATGGGGTTGGAGGGATACTCACAGTGAGTGTTGTCGCTGGGTTTGATTGACAAACACCAAAAGCTTCAACAGCATCCATCACTTTCTCTCCCTGGGCTTTCTTGGGGGAGGCGCAGATCATGGTGGTCTCCTTTGCCCCTCTGAAGTTTCTCAGCCAGCCCACCAGAGGACAGATGGCAGGGCCACAGTCCCATACATTCCCAGCTAAGCTAATCGTAGTCAGAGAGATCCAGGCATCAACCACCTCCTGGGACACGTTGGTCAGCTTGTTGGAGTCCAGATTGAGGGTCTGCAGGTTCGGTAGGCATTGGTAAACCACAGCATCCACTTCCGTCAGATCGTTTCCAGACAGATCCAGTTTCTGGATGGAGGCCCAGGTCCAGGTCAGGCCCTGGTTCATTGAGCGAATGCGATTCCACTGCAGGTAAAGTGCCCGCAGATTGTAGAGGCGAGGGAAGTGAGAGAAATTGATCTTTGAGAACTGGTTATGCTCCAGGTGCAGCTCAGTGAGCTTGACTAGGCCTGAAAATGCATTTCGAGTGATACTGCGCAGACGGTTGTAACCCAGATCCAGGAACTCAAGGTTTCTGCAATCTTGGAACAGACGCACTGGGACAATTTTTAGAGAGTTTGAGCGTATGTGAAGGCTGAGAAGCTTTCGTAGGCCCTGGAACTGCCCAGGCTGCAAGGCTTGCAGTTTGTTGTATGACAGGTCCAGATTACGCAAATTAGGGACAGGGTGGAATGTGGTGTTGTGAAGCGATGTGATCTTGTTGGAACTCAGGATCAGCTCTTTAAGTCTGCGGACCCCCTGAAAAGCCATTGCATCCACAGAGGCAATGTAATTGTGGTCCAAGTAGAGCCAGATGAGGTGGTTGAGGCCTACAAACTGGCCTGCACGGAGACTGGCGAGGCTGTTGTACCGTAAGGACAGGCCTTCACAGCCTCCTGAGAGGTTCTTGGGGACATCGCGAAAGGCGCTTGACTCACAGTAGACAATTTTTCCATCACAGCGACAGCTCTTGGGGCATGGGCGCTCACTCAGAGATGGATTTGCCGCCAGCCACACCTGCATCAGGAGTTGGACCACTAGCCAGCGACGCCGCAGAGCAGAGCCTAAAGGGAGAGGAAAACAAGAAAGGATAATTAAGTCAGGCTTAAAAATTCCTGATTAATAATTTGTAATTGTCTTTTGGTAGACATATACATTATACACACAGAATGTTTTCATATACATAGTGTTCGGTATTGGAAATGACTGTGTCCACCAGCCAATGTCCCCCTTTTTCTGGTTTGTTTGTTTGTTTCTCAAGATACAATGCAAGGACATGTCCTTTAGCCAGAACTGAGTGACTGCCAAAGAAAACATGAGGCCCAACAAGCTTGGCAGTGTTGCTCACAACTTCTGAAGAGGTAATCTGAGGTAAGCATCAAACATCAGTGTTTGTACATTTTGATTGATTAACAACCAACAATAGTGATGCAAAAAGTGAACTCCTTTGTGTTTTAGTTCATATTCAGTGTTATGATTAATGTGTGTTCAGAGATTGTGTGAAGAGCACTAACCCCCTTGCCAAAAACATAAGAAATAAATAAAAGCAAAGTCACCAAACAGCATAACATTTTGTGAAAGTCATGACAATTATAAATAACTGCTGCTATGTGCTAGATGTGATAGCCACACTCAGTAGTTCATTTTCAGCTTATTAAGTTTGTTGACCTTTTGACGCTATGCACATCATCAAACAGATAAATGATGACATAAAGATAACACATAGCATGGCTTAGCATAGATGAAACATTTGATTAGCTTCAGTACAATAAAGTTTGTTTTTGGACAGTCTCTATTTCTTTGAGTTGCCCGTGCTGATGGTGCCACTGCTAGTTGCTGCTGCTTTAGGGACATCTTGTCAGACTATAGCAAAACATGTGCCCCCTAAAGCAGCGCTCCTAAATATATATAATTCACATTTGTAACCCAGATTGTGGGTTTAGCCATTTAATTTCAGTCCAAACCCAAAAGAAATTCAGGTAATTATTGTTTAGGATAATGAAAGGTAAAAGGTAAGGTAAAGGTAAAAGAAATTCAGTTTGTTATTGTTGAAGATTAATTTAAAAAAACAGCAAATATTCACATTTGCAACCAAACTTGAGGCTGTAGCCACTGATTTTTTTTTTTAGTTAACTGCTTAATAAAAATACTTCAACAGTTAAGCATTTGGACTAAAACAAGTCAGAAAGTAGTGAAAGATAAATAAAAATTTGTCCAAGCTGATGTCTTCAGATGCAAATATTCACATTTGCGACCAAAATTTAAGCTGTAGCCACTAAATGTTTGTTGTTTTTGCCTAATGAACTACTTAAATGATTAATTGATTAGTCATCTGGACTAAAACTTAAAAATGTGTACAAAGTTTGTAGGTGTCATGTCTTTTTTGTGCGACCAACAGCCTAAAACCAAAAGATATTAAGTTTATTCTTGTAGAAGATTAAGATCTGTTCAGTCACTAATGTTGCAACTAACAACCTTTATTTATATATCTTTATTTGGCCTAAAACATGGAATAATATAATGGAAAATCTCTCCTTGCTGACATCTTCAACTGCAAATATTATATATATTTAGAGATTATACTTTATTTATTTAGCTTGTTGGCACAATATTTTGTTGAAAATATTTACACTGATGGACTGATTGTTCTGTTTAGTTTTATATGCAGTTTTGTTTTTTAAAAGTGGTCTGATCTGCCACTTTGTAGTATATTCCTTCAACACTCAACAGTCCAACTTCCATTTAGGTTGTAGCAAAGGAAAAGTTGCCTTGTAAAGAGGCGCACATCCGTAGCTTCAATGGATGTAAAGAGAATTGTCATCTGCGTTAACCAAAGCACACCTCATGAGCTTTTTGCTATTGGATTTGAGTCTGAAAAACTGTATCTTATGACTCACTACCCTCCAAGAATCTCAAACCATATGAACGTTTTAATTCATTTATTAAGACGGAAAGGAAACATGACTCTGCAGATGCACTGCTGTATTTCTGAATCAGAATCCAGAAGACAAATGATAAGCCTGCTAAATCTAATGTAGAGGATTCATTTAACGATATAATCTCTTATAAAGCCTGCTTTTGCTGTAAATCTTTTGCTCTGATGTTTAGCAAGTAGTCTAAAGGGATGGCACCTTGTCTCACACCAATTTATTCCATCTGACAGTGACAACAGTATTCTCAGGAGTACGGCATGACTTGTTTGAGCCCAGGGGTGTAGTGAAGGATATATGCGCGTATATAGGGTATGCCCACTGCTTTTTCTAGCCGTTTAGAGTATACCAACCTATCAGCCCAGTATACCCACTTTTTCCTCGGTAACCTGCCCATCTACCTAGTAGTACATCCATCTCTACCACTACAGCATAGTTTGGACCCCTAGGGTATAAAGATGTGGCTTAACATGGCCTGATCACTGTGATTTTGAAAATGACTCAAAACTATTGACACTTTTAAACTCATTTTTAAAGTGATAACCGACTAGGCCTTGCTTTATACGAATAATATTGCTTGTTTGGATCAATTCACATGTTTTATTTTAATCATAATATATAAAGTCCACACTGTGTGGACTCAGTATCTCAAATTACATGGTCTTAGCTGCTTGGATTGATGCCATTTTCGCTGCATGTTTACAATGAATACACACTGACAACCAGAGTCGAAGCAAAGCAACTTGCAATTTGCTCAATCATATCTTTATCTGTATTTGTATTCAGTCATCCCATAAGCCATCATTGCACCAATGGCAGCAGTAGATAAGTCGTGAAAGGCAGCCTGTACAGAGCAAATTAACATTCAAGGGTTGGTGGTTGTGTATACAATCCCAGAGGCGTTTCAATTCTGACTCCAGCCATTTCATGTACAACCGAACCAAAGCAGTACAGGTTCAGCATGAATCATTGATTCTGCTTTCCACAGGTTCAAATAAAAAAAATCACTACCAACCCTATGGAATTACACAGCTCGTCTCTGCTGCAGAAAAAAAAATGACTACATGTCTAAGATGTAAATTTCTTAACTACGGAGGGGAGAGGCTCCATTTAAAATTCGATTTAAAAAGTGAAGAACAGTGGTCGGTGGCTTCCTGTGATATCATTCCTCGTTCTGAGGTGAGACAAAGTTGTTTCCATTAAAATCGTTCCCCTTTACAGAACCACTAATGATCTATCATTAAGATACATTGATTTCCCCTTGAGGAGGATTGACTACTTATGTGTGTTTCTCAAGGCAATATAATCAGGTATAGACTTTATTACTATTATCACAATAAGATTAGATTAATATGTCAGGATAGAAGTAGTCCATACTTTAATTATCTTACAAAATGCATGATGTGTTGGCAGGCGCCATGATGAATCCACCAACTTATTAAAATGCATGTTTTGCACCGCATGTCGATGTGTTACATTGATAATGCACCAAAACACGGACTGTCTGGCCTTTGCAGGTAGTGCAGTTGATGCAGTAAGCATGTTTTCAATTTTCTAGTATTTTTTTCGTAATCTTTGCAGGATTTGTCAGAAATAATTCCCTGACATAGAGTGGCTGAGAGGCATCATAGAGCATATGCTATCTAACATAGCCATTTCGCTCCTTGCCAAGCATCTGCTGATCCCATATGGGTATTGTATGTGTGTTTGTGTGTGTGTCTAAGAGTGTGACTGAGAGAGAGCCACACTTACTGTTTGTTTTCGGAGGAATCTTTCATCATTCCTTACAGATGGAGGGAACCACGGAGCTGTACAGATAATTTGTGCTGGCTATTGATTATACCAGCAGATACATCAATCACGTTTCTTCATCTGGGATCCCACAATTGTGATACTTTTCACATAAATGTGGCAAGACAGAAAGACGGTGATCACAAGACGCAGTATTTCTGAGTGCAGCCAATTTGCTTTTGACTCAGGTTTCTGAATGTAACTTTAACTAATTTGCCAGCAACAGCCCTCAAAGGCTCGCGGTAGACACAGCAGAAGTACACAGATATAGAACAGTGCTCAAGTGTAATGTTCCATGTGCATTTAAAGTAATTTTAATAGACTGGGGAACAGAATGTGTGTGCTGTTATACATGAATGCATGCTTTCTAAATTTTGTGTTTGACTCACATCCCAAGAGGCTGTAGAAACAGACCCCTGTTGCTTTTATTTCCCATGTGCATAATAGGCTTGCTTTATTAGAAGTGACTTTGCTATCTCTTTCAGATTGAGCCTGCCTCACAAGACACCTCTCTCCCCCTTACTGACACTGTATGTGGTTTAATGAGCGCTCTGTGCGCTAATGCCTCTGTAAGCCATCTCCTTCCCTACTACTCCTCTAATCTTATTCACAAAGGAGCACAAGTCACCCTCAGAGTTGTCACTCATGGGTTTGGTGTCTCTATTACCTCTTACCTGATGTACCCCTCGCCATTACTGTTCGTATGCTGTATCTGCTTAGGTGAACAATTCCTCCTTCATTTTGTTCTCTATCCTTGTTATGCGTGTCCTTGAACCCTGCAGTCATCAGGATGTTTTTATAATGTGAAGTCTATTTCTTATGCATGTGTTCAAAATCAGCTCCTCAGCCCTTTCACTTCCCTTGTTGATTTCCATTTTCACTCCCCAGCCCTCTTGCTTTCTGGCTCGCCTGCTCTCAGATCCAACTTTTAGGGTGAACATCTTTCTTGCTCTCTTTCCAGTGCTCCCTTTGATAGCATATAGACCCGTGCTCCTCATTTCCCACTGTCACCCCCTGCAGTCATCTGTCTAAATCTAATATGGATGGATAAGTCAAAGCTAAAGTTTGTCTAAAGGCATGTGCGTAATGCTTAGTTATGTAGCAGACAGCCCTGCTGTCCTCAGCACAAGAAGATAGCTATTTCTGCCTCTCAACCCTAACACATAGAGAGAGTAAGTGCACTTTACTGCTGACCTAAAATAAAACCAAATGTAGCTTAATAACTTGGCAAATGGACTCGCTAACTGGTGCACTTTGAGTGCACACAAGTGGCTCATTGCTATCTGCTGCCTGTCATTGACAAAACTGCAACTAGCCTCAGCCTTGACTGCACAGAGAGGCTGGACGGCAGCCGAACACATAGGGAAGGACGTCCCCAGACCGGCCTAAGCCATCCTATTAGTCTCCAATTATCTTTGAGATGATAGCAAGGCCTGCCAAGTTAGACCATTTCAACAGTGGTTGGAAAACATTGTGTCCTGGTGTGCCCGTCTTGTATTTGTATCACTGATTAGGTAGAATATAGAAAAGGACTGAAGGGAGTAGTCACGAATACTAGGCATGCATGCACACACACACACACACACACACACACACACACACCACACATACATACATATATATATATATGTGTGTGTGTGTGTGTGTATATGACCAATCAGCCTTCACCCACTTCATCACTGTACCGCAGAGAAACTCTCTCGCCCTATAAAAACTCCTCTGTTCTGATCTCTCTATGGTACTTTTCATGATGGTTATTGTGAAAACACAACATGTTGCTACACCTGCCAAAGTTGTGAGACTAAAATACAATCCTATTTGGAGAATAAAGGGCACATGTGCGAGTAAATAAACAGTAGCTAAGCGACGGCTTTCCCTCTCTCCTGTTGATTGTTATTTCTGAGCTAAACTCTACTAATGGAATATTCTTTTCTGGGGCTCAAAACAAACTAACCTCATATGTCACTGTAAAGGTTGTGCTTTGTCTCTTTCTTCCATGTCATCCTATAATAGCTTAGATAGCCAGCGAAAGAAGAGCATACTGGTCAAGTTGAACACATGAATCCACAGTGATGTCATTGTGTTCGTCAGTGAGCAACACAGCTCAATAAAAGGATGCTGAAACACTGGAAACACATATAGCTCTGAATTGGAAAGAAAGCATATTGTGTTGATTTTGAAGGGGGGAGGGTGTTTCATATTTTTCTTTGTGAGGACTATGGCTGCGTATAGGTATTCAATACCTTTTAAGGTATCAATGGAAATAACCCAGTGCCAAGTCGAAACCTTTCCATTCAAACGATACCTGCATTCAATCCTTTTTGTATCCAGATTTAGAAAAAAAGAGAGTATATGTTTGGTTTTAGTTGCAGCTACCACAGTAGCTACAATCCATCAAGTCTATGATGTGAGTATTTGATTATTTGGAAGTTCAGTGTGCCAAGATGCCACCAGAAAATTCGAAAGTAAAGCTTTACTACATGCCTGTGGTGTTGAATAAAGTAGGAGAAAAAGGTATCCAATGAAGCACTTTTTGTATGGTATCACTTTAAGAACACTAGTATAGGTATTGGAATTGGTACTGGTGATGATACCCAGCCCTAATGTGGACCGTATTTGAGTTTTAGATCTTGAGAATGATAACATTTTTGGAAGGTGACTCCACATGTCTTCAAAGGTTAAGACTTTCTTTAAGGGTTGAGGTTAGATTAAGGTTCAGGTAAAGGTTAGGGAGAGGTAGTTGTGATGGTTAGGCTTATGGTTAAGGGACAGGAAATGCATTATGTTAGTGAGCTCCCTCAAAGGTAAAGCAGTATAAAAATGTTGCAGATTATCAACCAAATTAATGACATTTTTGTTTTTCTTGCTGTTGAAGCTTTGCACATATCCTGCTCTAAGGGACATTCCTTTCCCTAACAGAATGATCGACAATTAAAGGGGAACATCACCTAAAATTAAGAATTCAAATATGATATTTTCATGGCCTAGCAATTTTAGTTTTAAAATTTAGCATGAGCTACTCTCTCTCAAAGCCAGAAAGCAGAGACGTAAGTCTCAAACTTGAGATGTCCATAGACAATGAATGGTAGACTGATTTTGTGTACCCATAGAATATTTTCATTTTTATACACATAGGAGCTTTATTCTATTCAATATTCTATCACAGAAGATTCCCTTAGTAGCTCTCAGTGTCATCTATAACATCTTCCCGATTCATTATCTATGGACTATTCTTGACTTTATACTTGATGACATCACACATTTGAGTTTAAGCCCTCTAGGTTTTAGATTTGGATGAAAGTTGTTCATGTTTGCTTATATTTTTGGACTGACTCACACTATAGGAATAATAATGATTTTGAAATGGGTGTAGTTCCCCTTTAAACTCACCTGTGATCTGTAACCTCAAACATTACTGAGGATTAGCTTCCATTTGTACACGTAACAAGTCTTATTGGCTAACCTTTCCAGTTTATAGCTCAATGCATATTGCAGATTTTAAACGCTGGACCCTGGCTGCTCCGCACGACATTGATCTTTTAAAATAAGCGAATGTAAATAACAAATTCCTCGACATTGCCCTCAAAGGCCCGGTTGGTCCCCTCCATTCACCTGCTCCACCTGACATTTCAACAATGATGCCTGTTGGATGCTGTAGCGCCGGCAGAAGGTCATCTGTTGCCTATACCAAGCTACTGTGTCCTCGCAGACGGGCCTGAGAGTGCCATCACCCTGATTTTAATTCTAACAAAGCAACTATAGAGTGTGAAATGTCATTTAGGTGTCGGGATTTACCTTAAAGCTCTGCAACTGCATCTCAGGCTGTGGATTCTTTTACAATCCCTACCCTGCTCTTCTCTTCCTGCAAAGCAGATCTCTCATGATATGGTCCATGAAACATAAGTGCATTGCATGCTGTTAATGAAGAGCATCGCAGTCAGCTACACTGGTGGATAACTGAGACTACAGCACCTCATAATCATCAAATAATTGTGGGCAGCAGCATGGAGCTATATGGTTGACAAAAGTTGCAGCTTCGGGCTGGGTTGTGCACCCGGGACGTGACAAATGTGTTTGCGGGCACGTGGGTGCACCTGTATGTGCGTGTGAGTCCAAACTGCTGCACCTCAAGTATGCAGGTTTCCTCTGACATGGCTGTGATATTAAATTAAGGAACAGACCCATAAACCAGACTCCTATGATTAACCATATATGGTGGCTTTGCAGCACACATAAATTACGCCTGGGCTCTGTGCTGTATGGCTTTCTGTGCTGTTGTAGCTTATATTGATGTGGTGCAGTAACCCACCGTGGGTCGATATATCATGCGGCCTCGCAATTAATGGCACAGCACCACCAGTGAACTTGGCCATCTGTATACCAGTTAAGAATGGCTGAGGAGATTAGGCTACCCCAGACAATAATATCAGACTGAGAGAATGCAAAAAGATGGAGTTGGTATTTGGAGTTTGGGGGGAAAGGATGGAAATAATGCAAAACAGCTAAATACCAAGAGAGGGGCAGAGTGAAAGGGGGGCCAAGAGGATGGTGGGGGTGGGTTGTGAGTCTGTAAGTGTGCGCAGGCGTAAGGGAAACACAACAGGGCAAAATGGTAAATTCTTGTTCCATGTAACTAAGAATATGATGGTGAAAACACGTGCACGCATTGCTAAAGGAGAGGGGTATTGACTACACACACACACACACACACACACACACACCAACACAGAAGGAGACCCACACAGAGTATTGATAGATGGGCGCACAGTTTTATACTCGATTTGGAGAGTCCCTCTTGATAGCAGGTGCAGAATCCATACGACGGCTTTCTTGAATGAGAATCAGCAAAGCCTGCACGACCGGTGCCTTCAGCCCCACAAGAGTTTTTGGGGGGAGGCGTTAGCAACCGGAGCTGAAACTGGACAATAGGCTCCGTGCGTACAGATTAAGGACAATCAATGATTATGCAGGGCCACGCTTTATAAAGTTGACTGGCTTCCAACATTTTCCCGTGATTAGCATTTCAGTCCATGCCAATGAGCCAGCCACTCTAACTAGTCAAGGGAAGGAAATGGATAGATCTCACTCAGGGCTTATTTGCTTTGCTGGGGGTGTTTTTGAGCCACATCTTTAAGCGCACCGCGTTATAGAATAGAAAAATAAGTATCCTTAGGCTCTAATAAGCCATACCGCCAGGAAATGGAGGAAAAACACATTGCAGCTCTGCGACTAACAGGCTACAGCACAGGCTTCTGCCACATCCTTCAAGCTGCCCGAGCCACTTCACAAAAGACGCCAAAAACCCTTATTAGATATTTACAGTGCGTTTGATAAGACGACGTTTTTCTTGATGCAAACATCTGATACAAAGCAGGTTCTGCTCGGAGGAGACGAGCCACCCCGTGATGTATTATAAGAAAGGAGGACAACTGGATTTTGAAACAACACACGCTCTCATAAAGATGGTAACATAAACAGAACTTACCCATATCCGCTTATCTGTCAGCTCCAGCCTACAGGTTTTAATGGCTTCTGGTGCGCGACATCCGAGTCCGCATGACGCGCTCTCCACAGACAGGTACCGTCCTAATCCACTAGCCCGGTCTCTCCGCGCAGCCGCCGACTCCAAAGCGCACCTGCCCTTTACTCTCCCGGACCTGGATGAGCTATCCGGTTTAGTTCTGCATCTATAACCGTACAGCTGAACCGGGGCGAATGTCATTTACTTCCAACTCCAGATTAAAGGGTGAAAAAAATCCGGGTTCAGAACTCCCTATCCATGTCTTCACAGCGAAAGATTTTTTTTTCAAGTTACAGCCAAAAAGAGTACTGCAGTAGGCGCAGACAATAACGAAGCCACATCCAAGTAATTCATGTCAGTCTCACATGCGCATGGAGAATCCGCGAAAATCCTGTCCCGAAACTTCACAAATACGGTGGCATGATGCAAAAAAAGAGGACGTAATTTTCCAAAGGAATCGAGCAGCCGTTAGATTCCTCTCCCAAGTAAAACCCCCGGCGTCTCTATTCTCGAGGATGCTCAGACTGATCCGCGCATGGCGCACTGAGAAAAGTACCGGTCAGTTATCCACAAGTCTCTGTGAAACGCTGTCAACGAGTCTCGCGGAGTAATAATCAAACATCCAAATATCCACCTTTGTGTCCAAATCCTGCTCTCATTCTCGGTGCTGCTCGGTTTGAAATGCAGCATGACGCTGTTGTTAATCACGTCTGCATGTCGAGGCAACTTTGTCAGGCAGAATCGGAATGCCCTCTTCTGGTGAGACTGCGACCCGTGAACTTGTCCAAGGGTGCATCGTGAGTTAAATGTTATGGTGGCGCGATTATAAGGCGAGACTGAAATGACTCCTCTCATCGCCAGCCCTTTATTTTAACTGCTTCACTGAGCTTAAGAAAATCTTTTTTTAAATGTCCTCACAATTCAGTGTAGATATGAATATAACATTGTAGATAAAAAGGAACTAATCAGTTCTAATTTCCTGAATAGAAAATAAGATTCATGTGTGTTCTTCTATATTTGTGAGGACCATTTTCCAACGTTGGACCTGCAGCGTGAGGACATGTTTGGAAAGTGGTGACATTGTTGCACCATCTTTAGGGAGGTTAAGGTAAATGTTCGGGGTTTGTGGTTACGCATGTGACAGGAAATCCAGCATGCTGTAAGGGTCCTCACAAGTAGCCTCCTATACACCCATGCGCCAACCTATACGTGTGTGAGAATGAGGTCCATTGTGCAGGCAGCATCAACCACACACTGTGATCCAATGCAAGCTGCGGCAGGACGCTGTCCATGGTGCTGAAATGGTAGACTGGCGTGAGCGAGTACAGGCGCACTGATTCCTGGAACTACACAGGCACTGAGTCCTAGTAAACAGATGACAAGGAACGAGCGGGATCAAACGTGATCAGGAGAATTCTCCTTAACATGCAGCACTAACTCGTATCGGAAATGCAATGGTGCTTAATTCGAGAGCGGCCCCCCTGTGCGTCACCCGAGCTGCTTTTTAAAGCTTGGGTGTATTTAAGGAAGAAGGCAGCTGAATATTTAATGTGAACTGCATCTGCACTGGGTTACTAATCTATATTGCCCTTTTATTTCAAACGTAAACACAGCTGGCCTCCCACTGACATCCGTACCATCTATAAATAACTTTTAAGTACTGTGATTTCAGCTAAGTATAGAAATATATATATAGTTTAGACTACCCAGTAAGATGAGGGGGTCGAAGTGGGAACCAGTTTACAAATCTCACTTGCTGAAACTAAGATTTAATTTTCTCAATACACCAAAGGTCACAGTGACTACTTTTGCTTTTTGATGAAGAAAAATGGAGTAGTAATGAAATACTAATAAGTACTTTTAGTTCAGTAAAAGATCTGAATACCACCCCCATCAAAAATAAGTAAATATATACCAGGAGGAATATTCCCCCCAAATATGTGAATATGCCCCCCCCCAAAAAAAAGAGAAAAAAAAAGAAGTTCGTTTTTTTAAATTTATTATTTATTTATTTTTATTATATTGATTTATTATTATTATTATTATTATTATTATTATTATTATTATTATTATTATTATTATTAAATTATCGAATTTATTTGAAAAAATATATCTATAAAAAATATATATTTATAAAAACAAAAAAAAATCATAATTATAATTTTTATATAATTTTGTGTGTGTGTGTGTGTATAAATGTTTATAATACCATAAAACATCAATTAGTGGCTTGAGCTATGACGGGCTTTTTAACTCCTCTAAAACAAAACTGATGCCCAGCAAAGACGGGAAATACAATCAGATTGTTCATTACACTGTAAGAAAAGTCCGTAAAAATACAGCACAATGTAGCCTACCATGTTCCTAAGAAGGAATTTTCCGTAATGATTTTTTACAGGTGTTTCTTCCGTATTTTGAAGCCCGCATTGCATTATGGGAACAAGGACTTCAGCTTGGCGTGGAAAGTGGAAAGGGTAGCGGCCATTACCCACTTCGGTTGGACTGCTCCGTGAGATTGGAGTAACCTTTGTCACATGTCTGTGGTATAAAAAAACAAAAACACGAACCTAACTTTACATTGTCTAGTCTCCAGTGAAGCAGATAGTGGTCCCGTCATGTCGCTAATCGGTGGCGCTAGCTTTAGCTGATTTTTCGCCAATAAGCTAACGTTACTGCCGTTTAGCAACATGGCGGGCTACTACTGAATTAAGAGAAGTATGAGACGAATGTGGACTTGTTAAGGGACTCCAGTGCTTATTTTACAGTGTCGTGGATGCCAGGCAGAGGTAGGCTATCAGTGCTAATCAGTCAGTTTTAGCCTCAGTGATGTGGTGTTGTTGACTTTGAGTAGCTGTGGTTGCCTATACTAAATGCATTGCTGGTGTGTATAGATCAGTTTAATGCCCTCAACAATGGCGGTGGTGCTGACATGATAGTATCAGTGTGTTGATTTTGAATTTGAAACGGCTGAGCCAGGTGAGGCTGGTATTGACAGCTGCTGATCTAGCTCAGTTGTTAGCCCAGTCAGCTCAGGTGTGTGTGTGTGAGAGGGAACACAAATCATGCTAATCCATTAGCATGGGGTTAAGCATATGCATAAGCATTAGCATGGGGTCATTCAAACTGGTTCTATATGAATGTTATGAGAATAACAGCACCCAGCATATCGACACAACACGACCTTATCCTGTTTAAACAATATTCATAGCTTGGATTCATTTTTATTAAAAAAAACACTTTTGATTATTTCCATTGGTGGACCCTTACAGACCAAATGAATGTAAAATACTTATATTCTGACTTTACGACAGCTTCAGAGGAAGGGAGTCAACACTTGTTTTTCATCATGCTGTTAAATCTGAATTAATTACGCTCTTCTCTGGTGCTCATGGTTTCAGCAAAGTGAAATGAACCAAGCTATGCGATGTAGCATCTCTATATTGACAAAAGTTTAAACATATATATTTGTATGCCAGGTTTAAACAGCTAACTTATGTTAGCTCAAGTGTATCGTCAACAATCCGGTCTTATACATCCAAAGAATTTCTATAAAAATGAACTGATTGGCAACCAGACCAGGTCGCAGAGTTTCTGCTGGACAGGTATTTTCAGTTTGCCTCTAATATAACATAGGCTATAACGTTATATGACAACACAGCATCCAGTTGCTAATGGCTAACATTAGCCTACTGTAGCCTAACGTAGCCTGAGCCTAAGTATAATCGTCCTTGTTTGTTGTCAGTCACCAGTACTATCTAACGTTAGTATTTATTATAAAACTCATCAGTCATCACTGACCCTGGATAAGTTTCAAAACTCCGGGGTTGCGTTTGACTGTGCAGGACAGGTAACGTTATGTTTAGTTTGTTTCTAATATAACATATAGCGTTATATATGACAACACAGCATCCAGTTGCTAATGGCTAACGTTAGCCTACTGTAGCATAGCCTCTGAAACATTAACGTTATCTTCCTTGTGCATTTCCACTTACTAGTAACGTTAACGCTACTATCTAATGTTAGCACTGTAACCTTATTCTAGAACTCATCAGTCGTCACTGACTCTGGTTGAGTTTTAAAAATCCGGGGTTGCGTTTTCTAAGGGCTGTGTGAAATGCAAGAAAGGTAAGAGTAGCTTTAAGTGCCAATAACCTACATTGCGCTGCATTTGTTATCTGTGTTGACAGTATTAGCTTTCAGTTATTGTATATTCATATAGTATAGCTGTTCTTACAAATAATAAATAATATGATAGAAAAAAATTTGAATTTTCCTCTGGGTCAGAGAGGCAGACCCTAAAGCAGATATGTTCCCCGCTCGTGCTGACTAAATGGATACAGCCTTGTTATATTCAACACAATATTCTTGAAGCCTTTGTGAAATAGAACATTTAGTAACTCTGGGTGGGATGATGGATGTCTTTCACTGTGGAAGGTCGGACTATTTCAATGAGCGTCTCTCCTGGAAGCTTTTAAGCTAGCACAGAGGTTTATTCCCTGCAGCACCTCTTGTACTTATTCTCAGCTAATCACTTGGTATGTGATTGCCACCAAATGTCCCTCCTCACTTGATCTTATGGTATGTTGCATTCACGCATACTAATCATCGGTGTAGATCAGCATTGCCGCACGAATGTCAATGACGGCTCTCGACTCTGTGATGTCTTCTGACAGTAATCCTGTCCTTATAAATTAGTGATTCTTTCATGAAACCAACCTGCAGAGAGTTCAGTGCTCCACCCATGCATCTGCTCAGTGCTACCTGTTTTCAGTGCACCTCTCAAAATGGAGCCAAACAATGCTCCAACACCATGTTAAAATTCAGCATCTTGCACCATGGCTCAGCCTCGGTATCTGTTCCCATGCAATTTGGCTGATGACTTTACTTCTGGATTTGGTTCAACAAGCAGAGGCCATTCTGCTGACGGTGCTGAAACAATTAATACCCTGTGAAGTTATGGAGATACAGACGGTGCCAGCCCCGCAGCCTACAGCAGTGATTTCTCTCCTTAAGAAATATAACTGTATGGTTTACCCTCACCTTTTTTACTCCACCTATGAATTGCCTCCGCTTGTTGGTTTAAGTGTCTGTCAGGTAGGGGAGTCTGGTTTTCGACATTTTCATGGTGGGGATGAATTTAGAGGCCTTGAACATAAAAAAGGCTCTCAGGTAAAATAGTTCCTCTTTGTTTTTGACAATGCAGCCGGCTGTTCGCGGTCATAAATAATTGTGTCCTCCTGGAATAAAATAGACTTTTTAAAGGTAATATTTGCCAAAAACACTCTCTTCCCTGGTCAGAACTGTATTTGTTGCCCGGCAACATTCACATGTTGAACAATCTTTCAGGTCGCAAATGCTGAGGCCATCAGTGATTTCAATAGCAGTGCTTTGTGAGCTCTCTCCGAACCTATTGATAGAATCGAATGGAACAAACATCCTGCACATGCTCCCAGAGACGCAGCGTATTGTTTTTGAAAGGTTAGTATTGAGGCTCACAAAGTACATAGAATGGATTCAGAAATGCAGTGGTTGTACATTAACGTGTGTATATATGTTCTTGTTAGAATTAGCACAGGGAATAGCCTGCATTATAAATCTAATAAATGTGAATGCACAACTCAGTGACTGAAAATAGAGGTAATCTTTACTGCCTGAAAGCAATTCATAAGCTCATAAGTAATGCTGCTGGGAAGCAAATAGAAATACGTGTACAGGTCTGTGACAAAGCACATTTCTGAT